CCCCCCCCCACCATGTGCTGTGCCGGGGCTGCGCTGGTGGGAGGCAGGTCCTTGCCCTTTACATTCTGAGGATGAGAGACTCCGACGTGGCGAGGTGTCCTAGCACCACTGGGAGGCGCTGTCAGGCGTCTTTTGATGTCTGTCTGGGAGGGTGTGGGGTGGGGAATTCCACACGGGGAGCCAGGAGGGGCTGAGGGCGGGGTGGTTGGAAGGAGACCCAAGGCACTGAGGGGTGGACAGCTGGGTGGGCCTCGGGCAAGGTCCAGCAGGAGAGGGCGGCTGGGGAGGCACCTGGCCCCACTCCTAACCGAGCCCCCACGGGGCCATGACCTCCTGGGCCAGAGCTGCTCCCTCCTGTCCAGCCAGAGGGCCCGAGTTCCCCCAGGATCCCCGACCAGCGCAGGCGAGGTCTGGGCACCCTCACGATCCCGTCTTCCCAGGCGCTGCTCAGCTGCTGTCCCTCAGACCGCACACAGCGCGAGTTTATCCGACACCAGCCCGTCAGAGCTCAGTTATGGCTTTTTGACTTAAAATCATGAAGGGTGTTTCCTAACTGTTCTCCCCGCGACCCAACCCTGACCATGTGTGTGGGGCGGGCCATCCTCGAATGGACCAGAGAGACACAGAGCTACACCCCTGGGTGCGGGCACCACATGGACCATGCCAACCCGGGGCGGGGTGAGCAGGGGCCGAGACCAGCCGCCCCCAGAGCCGTCGCACTGTTCAGAGTGGGAGGCAGACACAGCAGACCGTCACGGGCGCCGCCCGGCAGCACAGACAGGCTAAGCCCGGCAGCGCTGTGACCGCCCGTGCCTTTCCGGGGCCTGCAGGCCCCCAAGTCCACGGGGCGAGCCAACTCCACTTCCAATCTAACCTTGAATCTCAGCAGAGGGGGGGCCAACGGTGCGGTTCAGGCGGAAGGAGGGGAGGGCCGAGGCCAGGGCCCTAATACCCAGGCCAGGCAGGACCCTGAGGCGGCGGGAACCCGTAGGGAGGGGCC